ATTATTTAAATCGACTTTTTATGTGGGCAGCAAATTATATATATATATTTTTTTTCTGATACTTTTTCGTAAGGAAACTATACTTTCTAGCCCATTATCAAATTTAATTTGGTTTCAACTTTAGTTCAAACAACGTACGCTTAGAATGCCGTGTACATAAGTTTCTAGGCTTATAACACTAGAATTCGGGGTTCGATTCACGCAGCTGACGCAGTACTAAAGCACAAGTAAATAAACTGTAAACATAACTCGTTGCTTTAATTCAATTGAACTTAAGTAATTGCTATTATAAAGAATTAAATTCAGGGATTTTTTCAATCTCTGTTTTATGTGTATATATTTTTTTGTTTGATTGTTTGAAGTTAAGCACAAAGCTACACAATGGGCTATCTGTGCTCTGCCCGTTACGGGTATCGAAACCCGATTTTTAACGTTGTAAATTCGCAGACATACCGGTGTGCCACTGGGGGATATATATATATAAAGTTCTGCTCGTTGTATTAATTTGTCTTTCGAAAATCTTTTCTGTCCTGCATTCGGTTTCTTGCGCGTATAACTTAAATTCAAAGAGTCTGCTTATTTAAGGGTTTCGCGCAAAGCTACATAAGGTCGATCTGCGCACAGCCGTCCTTAATTTTAGACTGATAAACTCGAGGATTGTTTGTAATTAAGCCCAAAGCTACACAATGGGCTATCTGTGCTCTGCCCACCACGGGTATCGAAACCCGGATTCTAGCGTTGTAAGTCCGCAGATATACCGCTGTGCTACTGGGGGGGGGGGGCATATAAACTCGAGGAAAGGCGGCACTCACTGCCAATACTTGGGCTAGTATTCTTTCATCGAATAGTGCGATATTTCACTGTCACACATATAGCGCACCTAAAACTCCAAAGTGAGGATAGCTTTTTTTGCGACAATGGGTCTCGAACCATGAACCATCAAAATTCATAGTCCAGACAAGCTAGCCACGAGACCATGCCCCGCCTAAAAAGTAATAAATGGTTATATTTGAATACACTATTTCTAGTAAAAGTTTCTCTGTTTTCGAAGTGTAAATTTGGGGTTACTCCTCTGTCACGTGATATTCTGCACATTTCAGAAAGAAAAAAAAAGTAATATTTATAGACGTAAAGGCCAAGTTATGAAAGGTATTATTTCTCTGAAAAAGAAAACTAAAATCTTCAAAGATTCGTCTTCTAAACGCCTTCGCATGTGATATTGTTAGTGAATCACAACCAGCAGACTGTTCGGAGCGTAGTTGAACATTCATTCCATCATCATTAAGTACGAGATTCTTGTAGCCAGTTTTAGGGTTCTGTTATCGAATATCCTAGTTCCTTCCCCTAGAAAAACGTGGGAATTTCTCACGTGGGTCAGGGTCTTTTGTGAAGCCATCCATGCTACAAGAGAGAGCATGACTCACATAGAATTTTAGTGCGTAAAGTACTGGGTTTATACTACGATATGAAATTATTATTCTCGCTCATAATAACAGAGCACTAAAACAATTTAAAGCTTCCTATTATTGTACCACACTCTTTGAATAATAGGGCTAACTGACTCTTTATTTCATTCTTGTACCACACTCTTTGAATAATAGGGCTAACTGACTCTTTATTTCATTATTGTACCACACTCTTTGAATAATAGGGCTAACTGACTCTTTATTTCATTCTTGTACCACACTCTTTGAATAATAGGGCTAACTGACTCTTTATTTCATTCTTGTGCCACACTCTTTGAATAATAGGGCTAACTGACTCTTTATTTCATTCTTGTACCACACTTTTTGAATAATAGGGCTCACTGACTCTTTATTTCATTCTTGTACCACACTCTTTGAATAATAGGGCTAACTGACTCTATTTCATTATTGTACCACACTCTTTGAATAATAGGGCTAACTGACTCTTTATTTCATTCTTGTACCACACTCTTTGAATAATAGGTCTAACTGACTCTTCTGTTGATGTTGTTGTTATCTATCGCAACACATTTCAAATTAAAAGGTTGCAATGAAAAATAATGGACTTTACTCGTTAGATTAGGAAGTGTTTCACTTTAGTTTAAAGATTTATCGTTACAATAATTTCAAGGCTCGTGGCTGTACTTACTATATTCACATGCAATATATTTATGATGAATATAAAATACGACCCCTGACACATAGTATTTTAGTGTTTTATTTATACATATGCGAGGATCTTAATTTTGCGAGAAGTTCACAGTATATGCTCACTGCGTTCAAATAAATTATTATTATTATATGTTATTCTATTTTTTTATTAGTCTTATATTTAAATTAACGTAAATTCCAACTGTGTCCCTCCTAAATACAGTACTAGCATGAGCACTGATTTTAGGAACACATCCCTCGAGATTTCAAATATATTGTATTTAATAACGAAGATGTTTTCGTAATATTATAATCCCGTAATCGTTTTTATTCTTCTGATTAGTTTGTCTTTATTGTTTTCGTTGTTCTTCATGGAGTCTAAAGTTTCATGAGTATGACCCTTTTTTTTTATACATTCTATTTTTTCTAATCTTGACCGGAAGTTCTAGGCTTAAGTTCAAACGTTAATAAATGTAATAAGATGGTTATATATGTATATATGGATGGTTACAATTATAGGATCTCTATAATCGATTA